TCCTTTTGAGTTTGGATCAGCCCATTCTCGGCGACCTTCTCAGCTTCTGAAAACTTCGTTCGGGTCTTCTTACGAGCTCAAAACCCATATGGCTCAACCACAATGGGCCTGCTCAATGAAGCCCAAAAGTAACCCCTTTGTTTCCGTTTTCCCCAGGCCTCATTTCTGCATCTCGCCAGCAGCTTCCCAAGCCCATCTGGTCTTTGGTGCAGCCGTCAAACACCAGGGGAGCGTTGATGCCATGAATTTTGACACTGGTATGATTCTGCTGTATTGTACAACCTACAGCTCATTCCTTTCTTTTCTTTTCTTCTTATTTTCTACCTGTTCCTGAGTCAATATATATAAATTGAAGCTAAATATTTTCTAAATAGTTTAGTGATATATTTCTCACACTATAAAAAATTAGTTGATTTATTGATAAAAAGTAAGTTTTCTTCAATCATAATGTCAACATTTAAATTTTAAACTTATCTTAAAAGATAATACTTATTTATTAATAAATTTAACTTCAATAATAGTGCTCACACTCGCTGTCTGCCACTCATAGACACTTTCATAAATCCATTTTATTCTTTATTTCCATTTTTGGAATGCAAATCGCCATTTATTGATCATTCTTATTATGTGCCCCGTAAAAGAGATCGGTGCACCTAATTGCACTTTTCAAAAGGAGCAATGCTCTCAAATATTAATTATTGTTAATTAAATTGTTCATGCTTTAAGCATTTGATTCACAAGGTAAAATATTATATTCCAATGGTTCAAATTCATTGGTCAAGCTATAAAAAGGTGGGTGACAAACTCCATTACAAGTTGATAAGTTGGACTAATACTCTAAGTTATAAAGTAATTTGTTAACAATTATTTAACATTCTATCTAGAAATTGCAAATTCTTGGTAAGGAACAGTGAGATACTTTGGTCCATAATATGTAGCGCCGAAAAAATATGCAAATAAGAATATTAATTTTACATTTTGTTTAAAGATCGTAGGTTTATTAGTTTTTAAATAAATATGTTAATTTTTATCTTTTTATTTAAGAATTATCATTTTTAATTTTTAATTTAAAAGTATTCATTATTTTTAAAAAATTCATTTATCACGTCAATATTACTATTTAATTAATCAAATAAATTGAAAATGTTAAGTTGATATTTTTAAATAAAAAAATTAAATTAAAAAACTAAAAAAATAAATATTTTTAAATAAAAATATAAAATTTACACTTTTACTTACACATTTTTCTCAACTAGCTAGCGCCCACTAAGCTCACTCCCTTGAAATATTGTAGGTGGTGGGCTAGGGTTTCTTTTTATGGTGCGGACCAACCGACCGACCAAGTGGGAAGGGAAACGGTGATTTGCATAGAAATGACGTCGAATTCAACTATCCCTTTGCTCCCTTTTTCATAAAGCATAAAATCATAAAGATCATAAAAGCAGATTGCAAATGCTTTTAACAAAGGAGAACAAAAGGTACTGTAAAGGTCTAAAACCCAACCCACATATATGCACTTTTTTCAAATGTTCATTTTCATGACACCCCGTTAATTAACTCCTCACCCATTTCTCATATTAATTTATTAAAGTTTTATACAGCTTGGTACGTTGAGACTCGAGATATTTTCTCTACTTTTCAATATGAGATTGGAGCATTATAACTGTAATTAATAATGTTTCTGACATTGTACATATTTGAGAAGTCATCATTAGATTTCACAGAAGCAGAGATGAGGACAATATAAACAGATGACAGCGATTCATAGACAACTCAAGCAGTTTGGCATTTTTCCACTTGGGGCACAATTAATGGGAATGGGCACAATTACTGCCACATTCCTCGATACCGCATCTAAATTCAAGATTTGATTCCTGCAAATTGCAAAAGACAATTACCATTTCCCAATCATTTATGCCTTTCTTTGAGCTTTTATTTTTAATTTTTTTAAAATGCAAGGATAGACCCCACTACACTAAATTTGCCAGCCCCATCTGTTATCCGAATTCAGTAAGGGTGTTTGGACAGATACGGTGCTCTCTTTAATTTGGCAGATTGGCCTTTGGCTGTCACTTTGGTCACTTTCCCCCTATTGGAACTTTGATGGTGCCTAAAGCTAGCTAGAGAATAAATATGAGCATCATTTTGGGGTGTGATTTTTCAACTCCGCTCCACCTATATATAGCAACAAATTGAGAAGTATTATGCATTGAAGATGGAATATTAGCTAGCCGTTGGGGGCTTGCATGAAGAGGTAGAGAGAGTGATGCAGCCAAGGATGACTTGCCGGGCGGCCTGGGCGGATTGGCACATACGCCTAACCGTTCTGCCTTATCTCCGGCAAGTTAGTCCTTGGCTACATTGTGCTCTCTTCCTTCACATGTGAGCCTCTAATGACGTCCACAACTAAAGTAATCCACATGGAGAGTTGGAGATATGAATCCCGTGCTGCCCACATCAACAAAATTAATTGGTAATTGTAAGGTTTTTTTTTTTCTTTTTTTTTTTGAGTACATTAAAAAAAATTGTTTTTTTCTTTTACACTTTAACATGGGATAAGTTCGAAATCCATTACGAGAAAGAGGGAATGCATCTCTTTAATGGTTAATGTCATTGGGTCTCTAGGGTCAGATGCATTAAAAAAAAATATTTAGTAATACAAATGTTTAAATTTTTAATCTTAATTTTAAATTAATAAATATCAATTTAATTGAATTCTTATTTCATTTGTCGGTGAGTTT